CGGCTAGGAGCAGATCATTAAAAACTCTTAAAAGGGCTGTTTCAGTGCTGTGCATGGGTTTGAAGCCAGACTGGAACTTTTCATGGATTCCATGCGTGGTTAAAAAAGACTGCAGCTGGGCGTAGACTACTCGCTCCAGGGCTTTTGATAAAAAAGGTAGCTGAGAGATGGGCCTAAAATTTGCGAGAATGGAGGGGTCGAGATTTTTCTTTTTAAGGAGTGGCTTAACCACGGCATGTTTGAAGGCAGCTGGGACACATCCTGAGGTAAGAGAGGTGTTTAAAAGTAATAAAATACTTGCTCCAACTGATTCTAAAACATCTCTGAGAAAGCGAGAGGGAATGCTGTCTGAGGTGCAGTTTGTCGGCCGCAGGTGCTTGACCACATCCGAGAGAGCAGAGAGGGATACAGGGTCAAAGTGGTCGAGGACAGCAGGGCACAGAAAAGGAGCAGGATCTGGGGTAGCACTAGTGTGGGCTAGCCTAAGAGCAGATACCTTTTCAATAAAAAATGTAAGAAACTTATCACAGAGAGTAGTCGATGGGACAATAGAAGAAACATCACAGGGATTAATGATCGAGTTGAGGACATTAAAAAGAACCTGAGGTTTATGGCTGTTTTTGGAGATTAACAGAGAAATGTGCTCTGTTTTGGCTGCTTTGACTGCCGTCTGGTAGTCAGAAAGGCAAGCACGAAGGATTTCTAGGGAGACATGGAGTTTATCCTTTTTCCATTTTCTCTCTGCACGCCTGCAAGCGCGTCTGAGATCACGAGTACAGTCATTGAGCCACGGCTCTGATAGAACTTTGGTGCGTCTAAGCGTAAAAGGAGCAACAGAATCCAGTATTAGTGTGCATGTCGAGTCAAACATGGAGATAAGCTCATCAGCATTAAAAGCACAGTTCACATCTAATTTACAGATCGGAGAAGCATTAAAAGCATCAGAGAACAGTGAGGCAGTCAAGGGGTTTATCGAACGCAGACGACGCGCAGGGGCACGTGATTCGACTCCTGCGGAAGGGATGGTGGTTGTAAACAGAACCGGTAAATGGTCTGAGATACGCGTTGCTGCACATATTTCATCCACAGATACAGACAGTCCAAACGATAATACTAAGTCCAAAGTGTGTCCTTTTTCGTGTGTTGGGCCAGCCACGGACTGAACGAGACCAAAAGAATCAAGGAGATTTAAAAAGTCCCTAACCAGAGGTTTGGACTCGCAAAACACACATGGACATTGAAGTCTCCGGAGATCAAAACACGATCATATTTCACCATGATCCCGGACAGAAAGTCAGAAAAGTCATTTATGAAATCCTTATTACACTTTGGCGGACGATACACGACTGCGCAGAGTATGGGCGAGGCCGGGTTCAGTTCAAAAAGCTGCAACTCAAAGCTAGCATAGCTAGTTACAGGGTGAAGCAATCGGCATTGGAGGTTAGCTCTAAACACTGATGCTATGCCCCCACCATGGCCGGTGGCACGGGGGGAGCTGAAGAATGTACAGTCAGGAGGAAGAAGTTCAGAGAACGGTGTATACTCGCCAGCGTGAGCCCAGGTCTCCGTCAGGAACATAAAATCCAGTTCACGAGAGGTGAAGAAGTCGTTTAGCAGGAACGAAAGCATATTCCCATGCTTGATGTCCATAAATGAAAAAGCAGATTGTGAAAAAGGCAGTACTCGTCAGTGGGATGTTCAAGTCTAAGTTAAAAGCAATTCCTATACAAACTAAAAAGATTGCTTAAAATAATCTGCTTAGATTCAGCGCCTTCTTACTGTCCTGTAAATTGTTGCTTTTATGAGTTGATATAATTAACAAAAATATGAAAGAGTTGTGCGATATGAGTCGCACAAAACACGGAACACGGAAAAAAACGTCCTACTACTTCAGTTTCCATTTTAAAAGTTCATCTCAAAGTCAATGTTTTTTTTAATGTGTTTGGGATTCTCTGGTCAATGAAAGCTTATGAGATTTTCAAGTTTTGTTCTACATAAAATACGTGAGTATATACCCCACTCGTCAATGTCCGAAGTTCTATGTCTCATAAAAACATTGGTTGCTAACAAGTGACTAAATAAACTACTCAATGTCATTGCGCCTAGGTAGCCTTCAGCTTAGCAGCCCTGCGAACGTGATGTAGTTCATTTATAGCCGTTAACGTTAGCTTTACGCTTCAAAGATCACAAAGCAGAGCTAAAATGTAGAGATAATCCTGCTGAACAAAATCTGTTAATTTTCATTAACATGTGTTGGCCACAGAGCTTGTTTTGTGCAATACAACTAAATCCAATGGGGAAATCCCACTTCTTTTTCTTTTCAAGGGAACCCTTGCGATGCCAACTTCCAGGACTGTCTAAGAAAATACGCCATCGCTGCATCTCTCTAAAGCTTTGTCTTAAAGCACTTAACACTCAAATAGGCAAACGTTTTAGTCCATTAAGGCTTGTTTTGTACTTTTTGCCTAAATTCCAACCTGATTAACATTATAGGTAAACATTAGTGTCAGCAAGAAGCTTTCTGGTACTCTTTAAATCATAAACGATCTCCCATGCATAAATTGTAGCCTTATCCTCCAACCCAGTCATGAGTCAGGCCAGAGGGATGCAGGCGGGTGAACCTGTTCATACTTCCACTCCAACTGACTGTCTGTGGGAAGCCACTCGAAAACAGTGGGGGGATGTGTGGTACTCGGCATGGCTTGCAGGAAATAAATAGAAAGGTCAGAAGCCATTTCAATACAGAGTGAAAACCTGTTATTGGCAGGAAACAGGAAAGAAAAAGGATCATCTAACGGCATCTGATTTCATTCTGACCTGCATCTCAATTGAAGTGCACAACTGTTGCTTAAAATTAGGAGTAGTATTAGTATTATCAAGTATTGTATGTGAACAATAACATTATGTCCTATTTAGTTATTAGTTGTTAAGGATATAGGAGGTTTGTTTTAATTAAGTAAACAGGACTTGTGTGTAAAATTGGTAGAGTGAACCTTTAGGGAGTTTACATTTACATCATTACATTTTGTTCTAGTTGCAACCAACAGCTCTATGTATATCTTGCCCTTACAAACATTTTCCCAACATTGGGAGACAAAGGATTTCCCCTGAGGGTGTGGATTTTTCTTTGGCCAATTTTTGTGAGTGTGCAGACGAATTAACTCTCCGATTGCCTAAGCGTACGTGTTTGCAGCTATTGTGGATTTGCCCTTGTTTTTTCAAGGCCAATCAACAGAAATGTAGACTTCGATGAATATGATTTGTAGTCATTGGGGTATAATGTGTTTTTTTACTTTTAAGACGTAAGATTTGGATACACTGGCTCGCTGCACCCGCACTGCGATGGGGACCCAAGTCCCCATCTGCAAAAACACGTGGGTTTGCTATCCTGGCTCCAAAATGGTGGAATGAGCTCCCCATTGAAATCAGGACAGCAGAAAGCTTACACATCTTCCGGCGCAGACTGAAAACTCATCTCTTTCGACTCCACTTCGAGCGATAGAATTACTAACAAAGAATTTCTAACAAAGCACTTATATACTAATAAAGGACTGGCTTATCTAAAGCTAGTTGAGTAGCACTTGAAATGTTTTGGTTCTATGAAACCTGATGTACTTATATGATTCTGTTTTCTTCAAGTTTGTATCTTCCTGGTCGAATGCACTTATTGTAAGTCGCTTTGGATAAAAGCGTCAGCTAAAGGCAATGTAATGTAATGTAATGTAATGTAATGTAATGTAATGTAATGTACAACATGCGAATAACTGCGGATTTGGTGTAACGGTAATATAAATATTACGATGATTCACATTGGTAAAATGATCTAATAATGCTCCATTAAAGGCAAAAGTACAGATTAAAATCCCTACTAAAGTAAAAGTGCAGACGTGATATAGGTAGACACATTGAAAGTATCACGGTAAAAGTACTAAATAAAGAGTGAAACGACCCCCGAAACATATGTATTACTTTATATTTTATAATTTAATTGTTACGGTTGCAGTATTTAACTTTTGTAATTTGCGAAGGTAGATTTTTAATACTTTCCATAAATGTACTCCAGTGTTTCTCAACCAAGGGGTTTGGTCGCCACCACAATGTATCGATCTGAAGGTTTGAGGTGATCATTGGGGAAGGAAAGAAAGAAGTTCCTCTTATAATTTTAACTTGGGCCAAAAGGGGAACTCTAACCCTAACCTTAACCCAAACCTAACCTTAACTCATCTAATGATAAGATGGAAAATAATAAAAGCCCCAATGAGACACAACAATTTGTGAGCAGCAACAAGCAAATTCAACGCAAAAAGTAGTAGAACTATCACATGTTAAATGTTTTCTTAAGTAAAGAAAAGTAACCGATAACTATACAGTAGCTATCAGGTAAATGTAGTAGATGAGAAAGTGCAATATTTCCCAGTTGATAATTGCATCAGTCCAAGTTAAAGTGTGCCCTCAAAGTCAAAGTGAAGTCAGTGAGTCAGCTAATTAAGTTAAATTACCCAGTCTTAGCCATCATTTTTGCAAGGTAGTCTTAAACACTGTCTGTCTTTACACTGAAGGCAGTTGACGTTTAATTAGTATCATCAATGCAACAACAAAGTTCATTTGAATGCTCCGTACAACTCCAAGACATCGCAGTAACGTGTACTGTGTATTAGCATTTGTGTGATATGTGTTGGGATTCAGGTGGTGAATTGAGGCCTTTATAAATAGAGATGAGGATGGATGGAGTTCTCTGCAGTGAACTGTAAGGGAACAAATGTGCAATCATTTGTTCAAGGTCGAGATATTACACAAGTATTCTTCACACTGGAAAGCCTATGGGAATTTATTTTAGCTGCATGCATAAACTATCACTGGATATTCTTAATCAATACCAAGGGCGAGTATGTTATAGTAATCGCTACATGAGGTTATTCAATCACGTGGCTTTATTTTCTTTCATGTCCAGTTAAGAGTTTTGCTTCTTTGTGATCCCCCTTCTCTTTTCTGCCTACCAGATCATCACCATGAGAGATTATGTTCCAAAGATCATTGGCGAGGAGTCTTTTGAACATTACATTGGACCCTATCGGGGATATGATCCAACTACAGACCCTTCAACATCCAATGTGTTTGCGACCGCTGCATTCAGGTTTGGCCACGGCACCATCTCTCCAATACTCCAGAGACTGAATGAGAGCTTCCAGATGCATGAGCACTTCCCCCACCTGAGAATCAGTAGCACTTTCTTCAGTCCATGGAGAATAGTCAAAGAAGGTCAGTACACACAGTACAAAGCTGCCCATTGGAAGTAACAATGTTCCCTACAAGCGCACAAACAAATACTGTATTTAGGTCAGCTTCAGCGTGACTTTGTTCAGAATGAATGTGTATCTTAGTGATATTATTATTTGAATGCAATACAAGTGACTTATGAAAGAGAACCGATGAATACGTCTATAGAGTAAAACCTGTATTTATATATCGACATGACATGACATGTGCAGCAAAATGTGCACTAATCCACTTGACATTCTGCGTAGACATCTATCATTACATATTAGAACACTCATGTTTTTCTAAAGTGTAATCCATTTGAAATAGTAACAGTGGTCTTTTTTTTTGCAGATCTCCTATGTCTGAAGTTTTCACGTCATATAGAGGGAAACTCAGCAGTTTTACCAAAAGTGTATTTTTTAGTGTAACTAGGTTTTATTATGATACACAGAGTATTCATCCCCAGCAGTGCATTTATCTAGTTTGAATGAAATTGTTTGGACACCTGTGAGCCCAAGGGTAGCAGAAAAGCCAGGTTTAGGAGTGATATACAGACCTGTTTTCTGAACAGCATAAAGGACATTTGACCATTTTTGTCTGGTCTGTTTGGAATAAGGGATTAAAGAATAGTCAAAGCAAGTCAGAATTGTTTGAAAATTGTTTGTTTACAAGAACGTTGTTATCTTGTTATGTGTACTAAGAGCATTTCTGAACCTTACAGAACATAACTATCTAAAACTGACTTTAAAGAAATGCTGTTTTTGTGTCTAGGTGGAATTGAACCGACCCTGAGAGGTGCAATTGGAACTCCAGCATCTACAGCAAGCGCAAACATGCTGTTGACAGAGGAGGTAACAGAGAGGCTAATCGTTCTCAATAACTCACAGTTCATGGACCTAGCTTCACTGAACCTACAGAGAGGACGGGATCACGGCCTTCCAGGTAAGTGCTGGGCGGAATCAGTTCACTTATTTCCGAGAGTTACAAAAACACCACGTCTGTTCAATAAATATGAAGCTGGGCAATTAGCTTTATGTTTTCATTCAAGTCTGTGTGGAGGACATTAGTAGTACTACTTCTCTAATGAAAATGTTGTTATAAACCTTTTGTTTCTCTAATGGGAGCTGTGTCTAATAAATTGCATTATGTGATGTCACCACGTGAAGTGACAACAAGTTTGAAACTGAAATATCTGGTAGTGTTCAGTCAGAAATAAGTGATTTTACCAGACCTATGTAGCATGCTGCTTATTTTTGCAGCTTGAGGCTAAGTTAGAATCTATTAGCATAACACACCCAACATTCCAAATGGGAATGAGTTGCATTGTGGGTAATTTTCAGATTTTGAAAATAAATGCATGGAATAAAAAAGAAGACATCTCTAGATCTGCTGATTTTTTATAGCTGTCCATTGTGAGTCAAGAATAAGTCTAGCCTTTAACACTGTGTAACAACAACTTTTTGTATTTGTTTTTTTAAACGGTAAACAAACGTGATAGGTGAAAAGTAAAGTGAGCGTAATAGGTTTTAGTATGACTTTTGTCATCTTTGTAGAGCTAGCTAGCTGTTTTTTGCTGTTTCCTGCTAAGCTAAGCTAACCCTCTCTGAGGTGTAACTTCATATTAATCGTACGGACATGAGAGTGGTATCACTCTTACCGAGAAGGAAATGCATTTGAGTATGATCCTTTTAAATGATTTTGTGTTGATATTATTTTTCAGGATACAATGATTGGAGGTCATTCTGTGGATTGGAGCGCATCAAGACACTGGAAGATCTCAAAGAGGTTGTAAGAGACTACAGGGTTGCAGAGAAGATATTACAACTATACAAAAATCCTGACAATATTGATGTATGGCTTGGAGGGCTTGTTGAAGACACGTTGCCAGGCTCAAGAACTGGTCCCCTCAATGCTTGCCTGATTGGAAAGCAGATGAAAGCCTTTCGTGATGGTGATAGGTACTTTTACATTTTATGGATTAAAAAACTATTTTAATCTTATTTACCTAACCTTGGACCACACCGGGGCTGTTTAAAATATAATTTCTTGATTTCTCTTTCAGGTTTTGGTGGGAGGCTGACGGTATGTTTAGCCAGCAACAGAAGGATGAGCTTCTAAATGGTTCTCTGTCTCGGATCATCTGTGACAACAGCAACATCAGGGAAGTCCCCACTGATTCATTGAGGTTTGGGAAATTCCCCAATGATTACTTATCCTGTGATCACATGCCATCCATCAATTTGGAAGCTTGGAGAGAAGAGAAGAGCCGAGGTGGGCTTGAGTAACTTTCGTCGTATTTGGTCCCTATAATTGATAACACACATTACTTTGAATTGTATTATTCCTCTACACACGAACATTAAACACTTTTATTTCTCAATTCCAGACTTAGTACAGTGTGGAACTCCAAGACAGATAAAGAATGGGGATTTTATTCTGTCCTCGACATCTGGCAAACTGGTTGCTCTGTACTCCTGTTACCATGGTTTCAAGTTAAAGGGTGCCGCTGCAATAATTTGCGAGGAAAATCGATGGAGTAATCAACCCCCACAATGTACAGGTACATGAACTATTTTTGCCATGGATTTGTTTCCTAAAATTGATTTGAATGACTATGTTATGTTGTATATTGTATGTTGAGTGGTTTAACATTAAAAGGAATATTTCCCTTTAAGTTGGTTAATATGGTCGTGATTGCATGAACTGATCCAAAAAAACATATACAGATGTCTTTGATATGATTTGGATAGAAACCATAGACATAACCCAGCACATATCGCTCCTTGCAAATGCAGCACTGTTGTGCTCTTGTCTGACTGGAGCTATACTGCTATCTGCTGGTACTAGTGGAGAAAGTGTTGTGTTTCAATAGGAAAAAGGCTGATTTCTGATTTAAACCATTTGTCACCCATTTTCTTTATGACAAAAACAAGTTGTAATTAAACTCTAAGCCATTTCTACAACCATTGGTGAAGTTTGTTAATCTGACATTTTAATAATGGGGACTAATTTCCCAACATTGTCTCAATTGTGTGTTCAATCGTTTGTTGGAATGTGGAAAGATCACAATTATCAATCCATATAAAAGTTGTTGGTGTTCAGGGACATAACTGCTTTTGATCTACTATAGTTTGTCCGAGGAATTTATTCCCAAACGTAATTATTATTAAAGAATTTAAATTCTTGTTGATTTATTAGCTGGCATGAAGTTAACTTCAATCAGAGACTTTTCCAACACTAACCAGTGAAAGGGTCTATAATGAATACAAAAACTAACAATTATTTTCTAAAATAATTTTAGACATACTGAAATATAAAAACATTTTCATCTCTCTCATAAATTAGCTTGATGTGCTTAGTCAAGAAAGTCAAAAAGAATGTACACATTTTCCTTCTGCTATAGCATTTTCTTATTTTGATTGTATTATACATTTTCCAAAACATTCATAACAAGAAAAACAGCAATACAGTACAGTGACACTGCTTAAGCACAAAAAAAGAGAACGAAAAAATAAAGAAAACATCAAAGTTAAACAAAATTAGATAGGGGGACTGTATTCTAATGTGTTTATTTTGTGTGTGTGTGTGTGTGTGTGTGTGTGTGTGTGTGTGTGTGTGTGTGTGTGTGTGTGTGTGTGTGTGTGTGTGTGTGTGTGTGTGTGTGTGTGTGTGTGTGTGCAAAATGGACTAGTGCAATATCCAAATTGCAGGACGCACAATATTTATTTTAGTTTTGGGTGTTAACAATACAACAGGGCCATGGCCATTACGTCAGTTATATAAAAGTATGCAATCTAACGTGGGAAAGATTTGCTGTATGTCCTGGTTGGTTGGCAGTGAGTGTTATCATGGTTATGCATGTGATATTAAAAGGTCACCATAATAATTTGCATGTTGTGGTTTTCTTTTACAGGAACTCATCACTAAGTTGTTAACAATGCAGCAGATCCAGAAATGCTTCATCATTTTATAACCCAGCTCAGGGAAAGAAGCCATGCTTGTTTGTTTTTTTTGCTGTATTTCATGATTGTTTTGATTAACAGTTTCTTTTAAAACTGTAAATGGAATTGAATACACACAAAATAATTTGAATAAAGTTGATTATATGTCATGTTAACTGCTTGTCACATCCTGGTCCTGTCTAATCGCCTCACTCCCTCACCTGCTGTGTTTTCCTTCCCTGTTAATCACCTGCCTGGCCTCAATGAGCCTCAGCTGTCTCTAATCATCCCTCCTCCCCTGTGTATTTAAAGTCAAAAAGTCAAAGTCAGCTTTATTGTCAAAAATTATACATGTGTTATACATCCAGAAATATCGAAATATCGTTTCCCGCAGTCCCACAGTGTGACAAAACAAAAAGGGCCTAGATAAACGTGGTATACATTAAACAAAACAAAAAGGGTCTAGATAACCGGGGTATACAGTTTAAAATGTTAATAATATATTTAAAGTGTTCAAAGTACAGTTTCAGTGCAGTAGCAGCGGAGATGGGCAGAAAAGTGACTGGTGCTGGATGAGGGAAGGTTGTGTGTGTGTGTGTGTGTGTGTGTGTGTGTGTGTGTGTGTGTGTGTGTGTGTGTGTGTGTGTGTGTGTGTGTGTGTGTGTGTGTGTGTGTGTGTGTTGTTGGAGCAGAACACCTATTGTGGTGGCTGATAGCCACCCCCTCTGCTACGCGCCGTTCGTTGGATGAGGCTGAAATCTCTATTAAATAAAGAAAGGAATTGAAAACACCGGAATCAAAAGTTATAACAATTATCTGAGTTTACTGGTAGGAAACCAAACACATATACAAGTTATACAGAGTACTCCGGACTTCAGGCTTGTGATGCGGTTTTACAGGTAGACAGACCAGCTTTCAGAAAACGAGAAGTATGGACTTCAGGTTTGTGATGCTGTTTACCGTCTTCTAGCACCAGCTTTCAACAAACCAGAAGCATTTTACACTCAAAAACAACAGTATTCATAATCATATTTTGGGGCGGAGATGTGTTGACTTTTCCCTTCCCCTTTTACTCCAAAGCGAATGAGAGAGTCCGTGAGGAGGAGCTGTATGAGCTGCTCACATCCCCCAAGTGTTTTTACTGGTTGGATTCACTCCTGGTCGGGTTCAATACAGCGAATCAGAGTTCTGACCAGAACGTGAGATTCTAAAGTTTCACAAGGTCAAAAGTCAATCTTTATCTCTGCACCGGTATTCACTCCCTTACTTTGCCATGGGAGTTTTTCACATAAATTATTCTTTCTCATACAATTAAACCTTTGTGCACATATATGGATGTCCTTAACGACCTTAAAACGAACATCTGTGTGTGGGGGTGAAAAGGAGCGGTGTAATGATGTCTTTAACGACCTTAAAAACAACATCTGTGTGTAGGGGTGAAAAGGAGAGGTGTGTGTGTGAAACAGGATCTCTGGGTCAGTGAGTTAAAAGTGAGAATATCATTTCTATATATGTGATTACCCAAAACCGTTTTGATTACCTAAAACAGTTCAAACAATACATGTTCACTAAAATACAATTCAAAATAATACATGTTTACTTCAATACAGTGTAGAATCATATCTTTTTACTTCAGTGTGTGTGTGTGTGTGTGTGTGTGTGTGTGTGTGTGTGTGTGTGTGTGTGTGTGTGTGTGTGTGTGTGTGTGTGTGTGTGTGTGTGTGTGTGTGTGTGTGTGTGGTTAAAGTCCAGGACCATTTGGGGCAGGGGAGAAGGGTGGGAAGCAGAGTGGAGAGTTCAGGGGAGAGATGTCAGAGAGGGAGGGAGGGGAGAGAGTTCAGCATCCTGACCGCCTGGTGGAGGAAGGTGTTGCTCAGCCTGGTGGTGCCCGAGCTGAGGCTGCGGAACCTTCTCCCTGAAGGCAGGTCTGTGCTGTGGCCTTGGTCAGTGCCAGTTCGTCTTGTCTGTCTTGCAGGAAGTAAGTAAAGTAAGCTACAGTTCTAGCTGTTTAGCGTTTTTACCACCTTAGTTGGTTGTTTTTTTGTTGCTGCATTAGTCTTTTTCCACCAACTTTGTTGGTTGTTTTTCATTGCTTCCAGTCTTTTCATTTTTTAAACCTTTTTGCCTGGTTGTGCTCTTGAGTCCTATTTTTTGCTCGTGCCAGTACATTACATTTACCTGTACCATTTTGAGGTATTGTATTTCAGTCAGACAACTCACGTGTTTCTTAATATGTTTATTAGAAGCAGTATATAGTTTGAGTTTGGCATCTAGGCTCGGGCCTCATCACTCCACAGATTTACAAAGAACATTGAGTGATGAACAGATAACTATCCCCCGAGCCTACAGGTGGAAGCTGGGGTGGTGGTGGGGCTGGTAAGCAGCAGCAACATGAAACACAGCAGCAGGAACATGAACGTAGCAATAGCAAGTGAACACAGCAGTGGCAGCAGCAGTGTAACGTCCGAGGTGTTAAGGCTTCAAGAATACTTCTGTGTAACAAAAACTCAGGAACTTAGTACTTTTTGGAGCGTCACAGATAGCGCCTCCGTTTATTTATCGCCCAGTCACACCACACTCTCCTCTACCACTCCAGGACAGACTGCGCATGCTCACAACACATGACCTCTCAACCCAATGCTTACATGCGTCCCCCCTTACTGAAAGAAATGTCCCCATTTCCACACACATGGTGAGAACACAACAAAACATAAAAAAAACAATACAACCACGAAAACCCCAAAAACATAACAAAACTACACAATACCCTGCAGAATAATACATGCAGGCATGACGTACATTTGAAGAAAAAAATCTTTGAATAAAAACAATGACAAACAAAACACATCCACAGCCCAAATAAAACATCAAACTTGGTATGACATAACCTATTCCCCTGTCCTGCACACTTGAAACATGAAAAAAACAATTATGCAGCATAGAATACACAGGAGAAAATAATCACACAAGCATGTAAACACCAGTCATTCAGCCCACAACAAAGTCCATAAAGCGGACAGGAGGCCGCGCTAACCTCCCAGCCCGGGACACCGTCGGTGCGGCTTGTTCGAGCTCAGGGGAATCACCAGCCCCAGAACCCGGCCCAAGATCACAGTCACTTTCCCCATCGGAAAACCTCAAGCGTCCAGAGCTCTGTGGGGAGACTGCATCTTGTAACGGAAGAGCCTGAGAAAGGTTTAAGAGAGACCTTGATGGTCCCTCCAAGGAAAAGGCTACCGGCAGGTTGTATCGCCGTAGTCTGTCGTAATGGACAGTTTGGAGAGAGGTTTCATCCCCAAACGGGCTACTTAGTTGGTACGTGACCCCCACTTCATCACCCCTATCCATTCGCCTCTGCACCAGATAAGGCCCCTTCCAGTGGGGAGCCAGCTTACGGCGGCTCTCAGTGGGATCATTTAACCACACCAAATCCCCGACTTCATACGGGTCGTGCCTCACTCTGGCGTCATAGTACGACTGTTTGCTGCTTGCAGCTAAATTGTTATCCCTTGTCTGATCAAACGCCGTGTCCAAGCGTCTGAGAAGGGAACCAGCAAAGTCTTCCCGGGGACCCTGCACCAGATCATCCCACCGCTGCCACCAATGTAACGTCCGAGGTGTTAAGGC